CTTGATTTTTGTGTCTTTTCAGGTTTACCCCAGTCCTTGCTTCCCCACCTTAAACTGTATGGATGGTTGACCCAAAAAGAAATAGAAAAAAACAATCAAACACTTGACCAAGATCTGATGAGCATCCAAAACATCTTGGACACTCTCCCAGATCAGATTAACTCCCTCACTACCTTGCCAGAGTAATGTTACAGAAGAAACAGGGCTAAATTCTAGGTGGGCCTTGTCTCAAGAGATCCCATGTACTGTGTCCACAAAGATTTGCCGGGCAAATTAAAAGAGGGAAGAAATGTAGCAGAGAATGCCCCCTCAGCCAGTATAATTCAGTTTCTTAGTTTCCCAGGTAACAGTTCCTGTTCCAGGTCCAGTTGCTCCTGTTTCTTAGAAACAGCTGGTCACTGTGATGCACACTGTATGAAACAATTCCCAACTGACAAGCCATTCTGCCTCTGTACTTCCTGTTTGCCTATCCAACATAAGCTCTAGACCACCAGATATTGGGGACTGACATTATGAGAATGATCCTGATCAGTGCCATTGATGTAAATAAATCTGCTTCCAAATCCTGGTGTCATTTTGGTGTTCCTGCTTGCCATTGCAATATGACTATGCTTTTATTTGAACTGTTTGCTGTCCACTCATTTAGGAGATTGGGGACTAGCCCAGGACCCTGATAACTGGTGCCCAAACAGGAACTTGAACTCCTTGGACCAGTTTTTAACCTAAACAAGCAAGTCCAGTCAGAGTGGAAAGTGTTCATGATGGAGAAGGCCTTTATAGGAAGAAACTTCACTGGAGATGCCTAAAAAAGAAAATAAGAAAAAAAAATCTTCCACAAGGAAGAAAGGGTGAGTCTTCCTGCTGTGGAATTCTCCAAAAGTAAATTCAATTCTCCAAAAGTAAAACACAGGTCAAACCACAGATCAATTTTAGCTCTATTATAGAGTTCACCACAAAAGGCTTCAGCCCCAGGTATCAGGACTATCATCCCCAGGGGCATTCACAGCAAAACCAATTCAGCCTAAAAGGCCCAGAAAAAAACACACTAAATGCTCAGAGGCTTGTATTCCTACAAAAGACTTAACAAAAATGCTACAAAGGGTAACCAAATATAATCCATGGTTTCCTCAGACAGGCACTATAGATATTGATAATTGAGAGAAAGTTATTTTAAAAAATATTAAAAGGGCACATGATAGAGGAAAATTATTTCCCCTGAGATTTTCTTGGCTCAAAATTTGGTCAACTCAGTTTTAAACCCATTACAGAGCTTGAAGCAGAGAGCATCTGCTTCAGGCACAAAGAAAACAAAAACACTCCCCACAGAGCTTTTGCCCTTACAGCAGAGACGCTGTGGGAAGAGCTGCCTTCCCAGGCACAGGAGTCTTCATAAAGTGGTCAGTCAGCACCACCACAGGTGTCTGGGGAGAGACCCATTTGATCTAAAGGGGTGGGGAAAAAACAAACCAGCACAGGTCTATCTAGACACCTACAGATTCTTAAAGAGACCGCTGAGGGCCAAAAATGTGAAAACAGAAAGAAACCACTGTTTGCTCCTACTACTACAATTACAGATACTTAGACATTAAACTCCAAGACAATTTCAAATACTTATTCAATGACATTCCATTAAAGGCCAACAAATTAGGTGAGAGCTTCTTATTTACTAGGTGGAGATGACTGATTAAAAACCTATTCTGTGTAATAGAATAGAGATTTGCATGTGTTACAAAAACGTCATAACGATTGTCTTGTTAAAATACTATGTATGGCTTTCGACCTCAACTTTTCTCTGTAAAACTATACAATTGTTGTCTGTTAACATTCTATGAGGATTCAACTACTAAAACATTCATGGTTGGTAAGAAATAACAGTTCTCTGGCTATACATTATATATCTAAGTGCTTAATATTCAGAATAAATTATGATAATTAAGCTCACTGTTCCTACTACAATACCAGTGTCACCGATCTTCTCTTCTGGATGCTCAACAGGTGAGGTTTGGAGACCAAAACTAAAAAGATACACTGGCTAAGAGGACACCCAACATTTTGGCACTGGCCCTCTGAGGTCAGTGAGGACACAGAACATGTGAGAACTTTTTCTGTGACATTCTACAGCTCAGTCACTTGATCTCCTGACCAGGGAGATTGCTGGACCAGAGAAGACACAAATCTACGGTATATAGTGTGCCCAAGGAGAGTCACCAGGAAAAAATGTCTCCCAAATTTTCATAGAAAGCAACTTGGTCAAGCAAAGGCTGTGACTCATCCTGATTGCTGACCCCGACAGAACTGAAAGGCTCCATGCATGGTTCCCAGATAAACCCTGAGGAGACTTAACTGACCTTGATAGACAGAAAGAGGTTAATTTTGATTAATACAGGTCTCACTTTAATTTGATCTTAAACATTGAGCAAAAAAATATAACCAAATATATATGAGAATAATACCATAATAAATGCTAGACAGAAAAAGAAACTCAAATCACTAACCCCTTCTGATAATTTTCAGCTGCACAAGTAGCCGACCACAGTTATGGGTCATTAAAAATGAACTACACTAAAATGTAAAACGACCACAACAAAAATCCTTAAATTCTTCAGGTAAGATCAGCTAAAATTAGACAGACTTGTGGCAAAATTATCAGAATCCATCAGTAGACAGATCTAAAAGCCAGTGGGTAACAATCACTATTCTACTCCCATAATAAGTTTCTAGACTTGACTCTGTCCCAAACCTTTTCTTCCATTCTAATACATATGCTTTGATTATACATGCTCTCACTTCTTCCTCTTTGAATAAAATTATATTTGTGGGCAATGTTTCTCTCCTAAACTCTTAAGATGAAAAATACATATATATAATTATATTTAAATATATATATCCTGTTTTGGGTGAAAAACAGGAACTTTACAACAACTTGCACCAAATATATGATCTTTCCTATTGCTCAGTGCAATATGGGATAAGCAGGGCTCACCTACAGGCCAAGAAGAGCCAGGTTTCTGACCTAATTAATGTTGCTCTCTCCTTGGCTTCTGTTAGGTATTGCTAGGTAAACCCACCCTGTGCTTTCCGATAAGGATTATTATAGCAGTATTTTCTTTCTTTGTTCTTCTCTGGATTCAATTTCCCTCTCATTTGGAATCATAACAAAGGCAGAAAATTTTAAAACAGCAGAATCTAAACACATGAGTCACACTGTGCTAATTAATTCCCATCAATACCTTTTGTAAATTTGCATAATATAGTAGAAGGTGGGTCCACTTAATCCCAAAAGTATTTTTAGAAGGAACACTGGTCCTCTGACATTTTAGTGCATTATAAATAGTACTTCAGGAATTTTACCATCTAGGATGACTGTGAAGTGTTTTAATTCTCCCCACTGTCAGTGCACTGCCCGCCCTATCTCCCGGGGACCATCTCAGTAGACATCAGCCTTACCGCCAACTACAGGAACCTGTCATTCTTTGCTTCTGGGCTTTTTCTTGACACCAGAACTTACTTCCCCGCCCTTTTTTCCCAGGTCGGAAAGCTGGTGAACCCCGAGCAGCCCTCAGCACAGAAGCACTTCTTTCCAGGGCTTGTACAGCTCTGAGGAGTGTGCTAACCGTCCCCAGGAGTGAGAACTCATCACCCGTGATGGACAGCACTGTGTACTCTATCCTTTATGCTCCCTTCAGGACCCAAGCAAATCCTGTGTGCCCAGAACTTTTCTTCAGAGCTGCTTCTAGAGGAAAAAAGAAGAAAATAGGAGACAGATTACTTATCATCCCCTGGAGAGTGTCAGCAACACTGACTAGGCGAATCACCCTCATGTACTTCCCTGGGGGACAACAGGGGACAGATGTTCCTCGTGATGAATACAGAAGACCCAGGCAGCAGTCCCCTGTCTGTGCTCTGTCTCCTCACACTTGCACCATGTCTGGCTTATCTAATCAGGGCGCCTTGGACAAACAACACAAAATATCCCGTACTGAAAATTAAGATGATACAGTGCCCCAAAATTCAGGCTGTGGCTGCCCCACTGCTGTAATTCCAGCGTGCGGTGTTCACGTACTGACCAGCTCTGCTTCTGCATTTGCCAATCTGCCATTTAGACAGCAGTAAATTATGAAAAGATTATATCCTTTCTCAGCCATTATTATGATGCTATTTTTGCTTCTCTGACTATGGTAAGCTGAAATCAAAATTAAATGCAAATTAGTGCCAATTTAGCTTATGTTTTAGTCTCAAGCAGGGAACTATGAAATGGTTATGATGGAAGAGTATGTACCCTTTCTTACCCATGGTATCGTGCTGCTGCTGTTCAGGGAGTGAATATCTTTCTAGATTCAGTTTTGCAGCTAATTTTAATAGATCTTACATGTAGAATTAGCTCCCCAAAGCCAGGTTAAATGTGAGCCACGACTGTGCACCTGCTGCTAGGCTCCACCGCCTTCTTTACCTCACATCTGCACTGCGAAGACCTTTCCTGGTACCGTAAACAACAGTCATTTCCTAGGGACAGTGGCTTATCTTGTGATTATACTGCAAGTTAGGTTTCGGCAATGAAAGAAAATGTCACTATAGAAGCAGCGAATCATCTATGTCTATTGCTTTCAGCAAAACATCAAGCTTTGAATCAAGAACGCAATATATGGTTGAAAAAGAAGGTTGTAAAGAAGGTCATAGAGCTGGGGGTAGTGATGCAAGCTTGTAATTTTACTCAGGAAGCTGAGGCAGGAGGATCATGAGCTTGAGACCAGCTTCAGATACAGAGTGAGACCTCAAAATACACACACACACACACACACACACACACACACAAAGATAGATCATTGTTGAATTTCTAAATTTACTCTTTGTTGACTGAAATCCTTCTTGTTCTAAGAGAGAAACATATCATTTCCATAAATGCTGTGCACTTTTAAGAAAGACTCTGTCACACTCTTTGAAAACAATTAATGGGAAAGGGGGACCCTATCTTGAGAGATGAAAAAAGGCAACCCTGGAAATTTAAAGTTATTAAGTCACTCTGTTGCCCTTTATTAGCATTTTCGTATACTCAGTAATACAAATAAGGAGCACAAGCCTTGGTGAAACTAGAAAACAGGTACATTTACACGGTGAGGAGGCAAAGGTCCCACTCACAGAGAACCTCGTCTTGCTAAACCTTCACTGACGGAGTTACACACATGACCTCAGGGACTTTAATATGTTATGGCTCATCTGAACTTGTCAGCTGGCCCCAAGCTGCGATAATCAACTTTTCGATGTCAGATTCATTCACTCCTCGAAGAATCCTGAAATAGCCATTCTCTCCCCATGACTTTCCCCAGGAATTGGCAGCAATCTGCAGAAAAACACAAAAATGAAACCGTCGAGAATCACACTTTGGTATTCTTACATCCTGTCCATAAAGATACTGGGAGCTCATATGTAGTCTTAGTTGCCTTTGACATACTACAGACTACAATTATTAAGGACCTAAATATTGAATAAATATATCTTGAATATTGCTGAAAAATTATCACAAAAACATAAGGAATGATGTAAAATATCCATGAAATTAAAAAGACAAGACATTGGTCAGGTGTTCTGAAGAATAAATAAAAGATTTGAAATACTGTGTTTATAAGCGAAAACAGCGATTACTCTATACTGTACATGCACAATACTTTTTCAGCTACATATTGCTGTAATAAATACCTGAGGAAAATAAATTTAAATCATGGAATTTTGCTTTTAAAGAAAAAGAACCTAAATATTTTCTAAATAACAATCAAATAGAGGAATCATTTATGTGACATTAACATGTATGTATTTGTATGTGTTGGCAGTGTAACTTAACATATGCAAGAGACGGAAATGCTACGTAACGTGTACTGCACAGCCAATCCTGCGCAAGGCACCTGGGAGAGCAAGGGTAAACGATGCGCTGTTCTGCGTTCAGAGAACGGGCAGTGCCACACAGGACGACTGACCCTGGAGCAGTGGAGAAGTATGCACAGCCCCTGGGATGCCAGCACAGGGCATCTCACTTATTTGAGTGGAAGAGCTAAGAAGAATGACCCCATGAGACACTAAATTCACCAGATTAAAAAAGGAGTAAGGGGTCCATTAAAAGGAGTACTATAAAAGCATAAACATGAACAGCTTGAAGTCATGAACCGAAGTAATGAAGCTGTTCTAACAGATCGTGAGACTGAGGGCAGGTTGCCGGACTATGAGGCAGAAAGGGGCAACACGGGCATTGATAAAGAAAACTTCATGGTGAGGGTAAAGGCAAGGCACTGAGCGGCTTCAGGCAGGTGTGCAAGATCAGAAATTGACCTTTTGATTACACGATGGATATGAGGACGTGGATTTAAGTGCAGAGAGACAAGAGCCAGGGAGACAAGCGAGCAGACTCTGGTGGTAATTCTGGTGGGCAGCCCGAGTCTGGGAAAATAGAGAACATACAGTGCAAATCTTCAGAAAGTAAAATTACAGGAATTTGAATTTTTCTTCTCTTTTATAAACCATGTGGATGGTGGGGCTCAGATAGGTCAGAGTGACTCCTGGGTCAAGGCTGGAGTGAATGAGTACGTGATGGAGGACAATGATTAATGGGGTACACAGAGAGTATCATAAAGGTTCCAAGGGTTGTGAGACCACAACTAAGTGCCACAGACAGACCCAGAAAGGACAGACTTCACAACAATGGCGGCCATGCTTGGCTCACATGCACTCCCCACTAGAGTTGAGATGGAAGATGTCCTAGGGTTTGATCTACACAGACACTCTCAAGGCAAATGGTGATGCATTGAGCTCTGCTTTCTATCTTTTAAGAAAGGGCAGATCCATTCAGCTCCAGAAATCATCAAGACAGCATCAGCTTTAAGAAACAGGTGATTATCATCAACATTTCTATTTAAGATTTGGTTCCGTGCCTCCTTAATCAGCCCTGACACCTTCAGAAGCACTCTCAAATATGTGTCCAAAATTTTGAATTCAATGTACCACTTCAAAGCTGCCACGGAATTTCAATAGCTGGAAATGAGACAGCACCGCAGTGTATAAGAGTTTCAGCAACATTCAGCCAAACTCAGGTCCAAATTCCAGATTTCTTAAGCAGTACCATTATAAGTTCTTTCAAAGGCCAGAAAGTCAAATAACATTAGTCACAACTCAGAATAAATTATTACAAATAGAAATATTTTTAAATTCCTGAAACTATGATATGTAGCACTATATCTACTCTCATTGGGATATCCGAAGATTATTACCGTGCAGAATTTCATTATTACACTTTTGGTGAATCTGGTAAGAGTATGTGAAGATTTTTCAAGAAAATGCAAATTTGTGTGTCAAAGAGAGCTAGCCATAGATTTACAAAAAAGGTGACAATATTTATAAAGGGTGACTTTGTAAATCAGTGCTAATTAATGACACCTTGGGGCATGCATTTTGTTTGTTCATCTAATATCTTCCTACTTACAGATTTTCTATTTCCTTACCTCTTCGGTTTGTTTCTTTCAAATTCCTGAATTTATGCTTAATGGTAAAAATAACTTAGGCATTGAGAGATATGTAAAGTATACTGATCTTAAAGGTGCAGTTTTGTGAATTTATGCACATGTTTATTCCTGCTTAATTATCTACTTAGATTAAGATTAAACAATTGGGTTAGATTGATTAACCATTTATGGTACCAGAAGTCCAGTGTGTTACTTTCCTGTACATACCTCTGCTTTTCTCCCACCATGCTGTCCTGTAATTGATCTTTATAACAATAGAACAGTTCAGTTAGTACCCTTTTGTGTGCGGCTCCTTTAGCTCAAAATGATGTCTCTGAAATTTATCTATGGTTTTTATATATGCAAGTATGTAAGAAATGTGTTCACTTCCTTGTTATGCATTTTCATTGCATGACGATGCCACGATTTCCTTCCTTTACATTTTATTTTTCTTTACAGTTAACATCGAAGCAAGTTTTTGAAAAACAAAATAATATTGAAGTCTTATGGTAGAAAACCATGTTACAGCCAAACCCTCCCTTCTGCAGTAACTGTCCCTCACCGGTAAGCACTGTCAGCTCATTTAACTCTTCTTCTGGCCGTATTCTCTAATTTCCAAATAGCACACATGTATCAGCTATTTCCCTGCTCTCTTATTTGGAATAGTATTTGACTCCTCCCTATGAAATATGAAGGTAAATAATCATGCATGGACATACACACTGTACTCATGCTCTCCAAATATTTATACCACATTTTGGGGGTAAACCAATATTCAGTGTTTACGTTGTTATTTCTGTGTAGACACTGACAAAAGAGGACCACAATTTTCATATCTATTCTTTTGATAAACAATGAACATCAGTACTTATCATCCACACAGTCATCTGTAGTATGAGGGTTCCAGTTACTCTGTCTCCTCATTCACACTTGATACTATCCATCTTTCTAGTTTTATCAATCTAGTGTCCATGTAGGGATGTCTCACTGTGGTCTTCATGTGCATTTCTCTGACACCTAATTATAACTACCTTTCATATGTCATTGGCCATTTGGATTTATCTTTTCCTTTGGTGCCTATTTGAGACTTTTCTCTAATTTCATTATTTCTTTTTGTCTTTCATATGTTTGTGTTCTACATACAATATTCTGCATGTGAACCCTCCTAAATTTTTTTCTTGACATATACATACATGGGTGGATAAATTTCCTGAGTGTGACACTTTCCTTTTCTAGCTCATGTGCTGTCTTTTCTATAGTTGTTGTTTCATTTTTTCTTATAAATTTAATTCATTTTGCCTCTAGTTTAAAAAACCTTTGCTCAGTCAATACTGTTAATGTTATTTCCCTATATTTTCTTTCAGAGACTTGGTTCTGTTGTAAAAGCATTAGGTATGTGGAATATCTCAAAGTACTTTGTGTATATTCTGTGAGTCGGGTCCTGTTTTGTTTTGTTCTTTGTCACACACATGCGGTGTCTATAGATTGGCACTGGCAGCATGGCGCGTAGTCCAAACTGGCCACACCCTGTTTGCTGCAGCCCATAATATAACCAAGCTTTGTTCTTTTGTACATATTTAAATTGTTTTCTAAAATTCAAGTATCTGACATGATATACGTGATCTTCAAGGCCTGAGATACTTGTCCCTATAGTTTCATATGAAAAAAATCTTGCTGATTGTGAAATAGTGTAAAAAAAAAAAAAAAAGTAGAAAAGAGACAAGGAAATCGAGATTAAAATATTACTCTTTTTAAAAAAGATTGCAACTTTAAAACCAACTGAATTTACTAAGGCGATGCAAATAACATTCCTTTGATTATATTTAGACTCCTGTCCTGCTAGAACGCTCACACCCACAATTTTTAGGAATATTAAAACTCCATAAATTTGCTTAACTGAAGAAATAAGAAATAGGAGCCAGATCCCAAGATGAAGCAGATTGAGCAAACCCAAACATTTAAAGATTGTTTAAGTTATATATATTCCTATGCTAGTACAACACTAGTAAAATGGGCTAGTGCCTTTCTAAGGTGGGGTACCTTCCCAGGCAGCTCCACTCCCTTCAATCGAGTCATAAATGTTCCAAGTATGAAACTCTAATGTGTGCCATTTTTCTCTGAGCACACACACTTCACTCTGTGTGCTTGTTTTTTAATTAGTACATTTTTAGTGCATAGTGATCACATTCATCATGAGGAGCTGGTACATGTGCCTCACATTTCCTAAGTTTGGGATTGATTTGGTTTTTTGAGGCAGGGTCTTGCTGTGTAGCCCAGGCTGGCCTCTGCCTCCCAAGAGCTGGGATCACAGGCCTGCACCACCATGCTCAGCCTTTAGTTTTATTTGGACATGTATTAATTTGTAATATCTTCTCCCTCTTTTTTATACACATTTCAATGCATGGCCAGCATGCTCTTTGGAGGGACTTGGTGCATGCACACAGCAACTTGCCCCCATTCTATATCTCAGTCCCCTTGCCCCCCACATCCTCCCTCTGTCCCTTGGTTCACTCCCCATACCCTAGAACTCCATTCTCCTATTTCTTATGTTTTATTTTACAGTCTATCTGCACAGTGGGCTCTCATTTAAGAGAAACAAGGTAATGTTTAAGTTTGTTTTTCTGATTTATTTTACTTACTATTATGGTCTCAAGGTGTACCCATTTTCCGACAAATTATCCAAGTTTATCCTTCTTTATGATGGAGTAGTACTCCATCAAGTATAAATATCACATTTTCTTCACCCATTCATCTGTTGATGGACATTTAGGTTGCTTCCAGTTTTTGACTACTACTAATGGTGCTGTTGTACATATGGCCATGGATATACCACTGTAATATGTCTTCTTTAACTCTTTCTGAACTATGCCTAGAAAGAAATAGCTGTGTCAAAGGGCAAGTCATGTATCATTTTTGATGTTTTTGTGTTGTTTTGATTTTGTCTTCATTGTTGTTTTGTCAGTTTTAAAATAAAAAAATTGGGGGATCTAATATTTTTGAGTTCTTAATATGTTCTAGATATGGGTCTTTGTCTGAGGAGTGCTTGGCAAAATACTTTCCCATTCTGTACAGTGTCTCTTCACTTTGTTGGGGATTTCCCTTGATATACAGAAACTGTTAAATTTGATGAGATCTTACTTGTTGATTCTGATTGTTTCTTGTGCAACTGGGGTTCTATTCAGAATGTTTTTGCCTTTGCCAACGTTTTGAGGTTTTATTTGTTTTGTCTTCCAGCAGATTAAGTGTTTCTGTTTTAATATTGAGATTTTTACTCCATTTTGATTTTAATTTAGTGCACGGTGAGATACATAGGTCTAGGTTTAATCTTCAGCATGAGGACAGCCAGTCTTCCTGACACCATTCGTTAAAGAGGCTGTCATCAAGCAAAAGGTTTAGTCCCTCAGTCAAATAAAGGTAACTATGTGTGACTGCAGTTGCTTTTTCATCCTCTAGTCTATTTCATTGATCCACAAGTCTGGTTTTTTATCAAATACCATGCTGTTTTATCACTTTAGATTTGTAGTATAACTTGATGTCCAGGATTGCAGTGTCTTCTCTCTTGCCTTTATGCCCAGAATTGTGTTTGCTATTCTACATCTTTTCTGGTTCCATATGAATTTTAGGACTGTTTTCACTAGTTCTGTGAGAAATGTAATTGGAAATTCAATTGGGATTACATGAACTCTGTGCATCAGTTTGGGAAGTATGACCGTTTCGACTGTCTGTATCCTGCCAACCAGGAAAGGGGAGATGTGGGGAGACTTGGCCAAAGGAATGGTTGAAATGAATGCGAAGAAGAAGGGGCTTTGTGTACAACAGCTCAAGATGCCTGCGGTGCATGGTTAGAGTTAAGACCCGCAGGACAACGGTCAGCAGAATTTAAAGCAGTTATTGTCTGAGATGTTTGCTTTGATAAGACTGCCTAAACTAGATCAATGTGAGTCATATAACGACCATCTATTCCTTCCCTGTCCTGTGACCAAAACTCCTATACAGTATGTTGCAAGTGCTTTTCTTCTCTATCTTTGTTCTCACATCCTTGAGCTACAAATACATATCTGGGGAGGTCTCAGCTCAGGGCTATCTCCCTGAAGCTCTCTTATGCTGAAGAAGCAGCCCCTTCAGGTTCTCAGTGATGGAACTGTCTCATCTCCAAGTAATCGTTTTCATTCTTCTCACACCCATGGTCACACACTGGCACAAATGCTGCCCAGCATGGGTCACACACCGACATATGCGGCAGAGAAACAGTGGGACAGACGGCGAGGAGCAAAACTGCAAGCAAAACTTGCAGCTACACCTCAGTGCGGAGGACCAGCCTCCCAAAGCCTGGAGAAGAATCAGAAACTCCGCTCTTCATTTTAGTCCTAGGAAGGGAGACACAGCCGTGGAGTAGCCTGGAGCGTCACAGTGTGGTCATGGCCGCAGTGTTCTAAACCCAGAGGTTATCGCTGTCCAGTTGCTTACAGTATGGGGCAGTGTTTGCATGCACTGGTACCCAGCTCGCGAATGCTTTTGTTTGTGAAAAATTTGACCCACAAACAGACGCATTTGGCAAAATTTTGTTTTTGTTTCTAAACTCTGCGTCGGATGACCAACATGACTGTGGCCATCTTTTTCACATGAACAGAAACATGGCCATTATCCCCAGAAGCAGGGAACAAATTACGTTTGTGGACAGAGATGCCACTGTACACTTCCTATTTTTTTTTGCTTTCAGCATCTTACTTGTTTGCTATCATGGGTCAAATGTCATCAGGAGCAAGAATGCGTTAAGCAGCACTTGTAAAGCTTTTTAAATGTCTGGGTACAGGCTTCCATAGCCCCAGCTCACTGAATTGCTGTCATTCACCAACAAGATCCCCAGTTCCTGTTGGAAAGTGGCTTAGATGCAGACGCCTTGAGCTACAAATAAATATCTGCAGAGGAACACGATGGCAGAGGTCTCACTCAGGACTGTTTCCCTGAGGCTCTCCTATGCTGAAGAGACAGCCCCTCTGGGCTCTCAGCGATTGAAGTAAGTCTCATCTCTGCATAATCTTTTTTTATTTTAAAGAATTTTTTAAAAACAATAAAAATGATGCAGAATTTCAAAACAAGATGTTGCAAACTGCAACAGGGATATGTTTTCATTCTCTGATATCCTCTTAGTTTTCCTTTTTCAGACTACTATCATCTCCACTGTAAAGAACTTTCACTTCCTTGGTTAACTTCATTCCTAATTATTTCATTTTTCTCCATGTCATGAGAAAGTGAAGAGTATTA